AGGTACGCACAGCAGGTGGCGCGGTGCGTTACCGTCCACTCCGCTGGCTCGCAGCTGCCTCTGCGCGTCCTGGGGATGTACCTTTGTCGCGCGCCGAAGGCGACTCGACGCCGCTGAGATCGGAGATCAAGCTCTGACAGGTCGCACGTCGCTCCTTTGACGCCGACGTGACTCACCCGTGCAGATCACATCAGGACACGGTCTCGACGCGCTCGGTACGACGCCTGCGACCCGTCTCGGGTCAGGTGGCACGACGCTCATCGCGCCTACCAGCGCTGCCGTGCAGGTTGCCACGACGAGGTCGAGCACGCTTCTATACGCTCGCCGAGCCTTCCTTTCCATCCCATTTGGCAGCCTGGGAACGGTGGCGGTCAGAGGCAAAGCATACGAGGGGTGGTGGAACCACATGTCACGGCTACTGCCGGCTCGACCCCACGATAGCCTCCGGAGGCTGACTTTGAGGCACAATCATCGGACGACGTCGGCGAGTTGAGTCGCGCTCGCGGTAGCCAGATGACCTCTCATACTAGTATCATCGGCCATGGCCGCAGGAAGCGCGGGGGAGGGCGCTGGGAGCAACACGGAGCTCCGTTGGACGTTTTCAAGATTAGCGTGTCAGAGTGAAATGGAACTAGCCAGAATCGGAGCAGCTACGTGTCTCTCGGCGGGAGCTCAGTGTAGCAAGCCTTCTAGTACTTTGCCTTCCGGCCCTGGCAGTCAAGCTGGACGAGATGTGGACACAGCTGGCGCACGGTCGCCTCGGAGAGGTCGATGGTGCCCACACAGCCATTCATGTTGAGCTGGCGGAGCGCCGCGCCGGAGGTGTGCAGCAGCGGCGTGAGCGACTCGGGCGGGAGCACGCGGCAGCCAAAGAGGTTGAGGGTGTCGAGGCGAGCTGCCGCTGGCGCGCGCATCGCGTGGAGCGCCTTGCACTGCGCCAAGTTGAGCGAGCGAAGGACGGCGCACCGGCCGAGGAAGACCTCGCCGAGCGTGCGGCAGCCCGACGCGTTGAGCGAGGAGAGGAGCGGCGCGCGGACGACGAGGAGGGAGAGCACCGTGCACTGCGAGACGTTGAGGCGCGCGAGGCTGGCGCAGCTCACCTGCAGCACCCCGAGCCGGGACCAGCCGCGCAGAGAAAGCTGCACCAGCGGCGGCAGCCTCTCGAGCCGCATTCGCCGCCGGCTGACCACGTCCACCGTCTCCACGGCTAGCGCCAGGGCCGCCGCCGCCGCCGCGTCGGCCTCCGCCTCCGCCGCAGAAGGCGAAGCCGCCGCCGCCACCTCTGGCGAACCCGTCGCCGCCGCCGCCGCCGCCGCCGCCGCCGCCGCCGCCGCCGCCGCCGCCGCCGCCGCCGCCGCCGCCGCCGCCGCCTCGTTGCCATTTCCCATCAGGGCCGCCGCCGCCGCCGCCGTCGTTCGAGGCGGGGCCGCGCTCACCCCAGCAGCGCGGCGGGCTGGGAGCCGGTCGCCGCACAAACTGCCTTTCACGGGGGGGGGGGGGGGGGGACCTCCCCCCCCCCCCTTCTTTTTCCAGCTTGCCTTTGCCCCCCCTTCTGTTTTCTCTTGGTCCCCCCCCTACTCCTTGCTTTTCTTTTTCTTTTCCCCCCTTTTCCCCCCTTTGGCCCTACTGCGATTTACCTCTTTTTTCGCCCCTACCCCGCCCCCCTATTTCCCCCCTCCGTCCCCCGTTCTGTCTCCCTTTCCCCCACGCCCTTTTCTTACTCCGTTTCCCGCCTTTCTGCTCTCTCTCCCCTCTTTTCTTCTTCTCCCCT